CCAGCAGCCCCCTCTAGGTGGACTTCTGCTCGAGCTTACCCTCCGCCCCCCTAGGCTCCAGCTCGACGGTCTCCACCTGCGCGCCGAACTCCGCGCGGCGCTCGGGGCCAGCCCCGTCGTTCTCGCCGTCGCTGCCGAGCACCTCCCCGTCGCCATCTTTCCGCGGGCCCGCCCCGGGCACGGCGCCATCTGCCAACCAGCGCCGAAGACTGGCAACGATGGCCCCCGCCTCGCGCGGGCGGCGCGGGAAAACCGCAAACCCGCCAAGCGCCATATCGTTCCTCTCGAGGGCCGACGGGATCCGCCGCACCAGGGCGCGAACCTCTCTGAGCCCAGCGGCCGAGGTCGGCAACCCGGGCACGGCCGCCATCTCCGCCGCCGCTCCGAGCATCGCGAGCGCCGAACGGCCTGAGGCAACCGCCGTCGCCGCGCTCGCCGCCCCCGCCGCCGGCGCCTCCGCCGCCGCCGCGCCCCCTGCCTCCACGCGCAGCGGGGGCTCGGCGGCCTCGCCGACAGATGCGCCCGCAACGAGCGACGCGCCATGGCGCGCCGAGAGGCCGCCGCGCCCGCCAGGTCCCATCGCGCCGCGGGGCGCCGGCCGCGCGCGCCCGCGGGGCGCGGCGCGGCCGCGGCGCCGCTGGAGCCCAGTCGGCCACGGGAAGAAGGAGGGGGAGCTGGGAGGCGGGAGGAAGAAGCATCCGTTGGACCCTTTGGCCCAGTACTTCAAGCCACGAACAGCAGCGCGGAAGAAAGAGGCGGGCGCATTCAACAGAGTGCGCCATGGCAGCCCCGCGGGGGAAGGGCGCGAGCGACCAACTCCCCGCTTGCTCCCCTATCCTCTCGGACCGTCCTTCGTCGCATTCACGCTGTCAACCGTCTCGGCCTGGTAGCGCCCCCTGCCGGGCTGCCCATTTCACCTGACAATGAATTTTGACCACTCCAGCAGGGCAGCTCGGTAAACCGGAATCCCCTGAGGCGTCGACGAGAAGCGCTCCAGCTTCCGTTCGGGGGCCAGACGACGATGCAAGCACCGTTCATCTACGGCGCCGCCACCGACCAACACGAGCGGGGAGGGGCCCAACCTGAACAGTCGAGACCCAACCGACACACGCGCGCGGCCACGGCCACAGTCACTGCACAAGGTGAGAGGAGCGGGCGGGAGGGCGCCTCGAGCGTCCGTTCGGAGGCCAGACGACTACGCAAGCACGTTTATCTACAGAGTCGCCACCGACCGGCATGAGTGGGGGGGGCCCTCCCTGAACAGCCGAGAACCCATCAACGCGCATGTGCGGCTACGGCCACACGCACTGCCACAGACATGCACTGCCAAGTCACACATACACGCCAAACTTGCACAGGCGCCAACTGGCACGCCGCACCCTTGTCAAATACTCGGGAACCTATCCAATTCCTGAGCGATCCGCGCAGCACATCACAGAATCGCTTAGCAATGAAGGTACACAGTGGCAGCGGGCAGGCCTCCGCGACATTGGCCCAGAACACCCCGTCTCGTCGTTGCCCCACCAGCTGCTGGCGGGATTGGCCAGAACGCGCACGCACTCACCGACTGCCGAGACACCTGCAAGAAACCCGCGAGAGGTCCACGAGGAAAGATACAAACGCTGCGTCTTAAAAAGGCCCTGATCACATGCAGGAATCTGCATGCGAGATGCTCGCAAGCTTAATCATGGACAGGATCGAATTACACAACAAAAGGCGGGAGGTGCGAGGATTCTCTAGATCCCAAGGGAACGCCTGAAGATCACTTCACGGAACAGGCGGCACGCGAAGCGAGCTAGACCATTGGCTAGCGCCACTTTGCGCAAGATTGAGGGCGACAGCCCAGGCAAGCCCCGCAGGATGGAGTCGCTCCTGAGCGGCGGCGCGCCTCCTCCGCGGACACGAACGCGGGGGAAGGTCCGGCGCGGAAGCGTGACATGGAAGCCCGCAACGAGGCCTCCTGCCAGCCAGCCCATCAGCATGCTCGGATTCTTCGCCAGCGTCAGGTCACGCGCATGGCCGAAGGCGATGTCCCACCAGGGCACCTGCAGCCCCCCAATGAGCGACTGCGCGCCCGAGGCGCCCTGTGCCCGAGAAGATCTCAATGAGCGCCGGCGCTCTCAATGAGCGCCGGCGCTCTCAGGGGCTCGCGAAGGGCCGGCGTCGCCCGGCCGCCGCGTCGCCGGGCGAGTCGGCGCAGCGCAACGCGCGGGCCCGCAGCGGCGGCGCCAGCCGCTCAAGCATCTCGCCCAGCCGCGCTCCCTTCTCGTGGCGCCGCGGGCTGCTGTGCGCCCGCCAGCTCCCGCGATGGCGGATCTGCCCCAGCGCCCTGGCGCCAGTCGCCGCATCGTGGCCGGCGCCGCCGAGGCGGAGCTGGTGGCGGGAGCTCCAACGCCTTGGCCGCCCCGCCGAAGGCCGCGGCTGCCTCCGCCGCCCCGATGGCGAAGAAGGGCGGCTGGGCACCGCTGCCCGTCGGCCGCCGCAACACCACCACGTGCCAGCGCGGCCCGTGGCGGGCCTCCAGCACTGCAGCCAGGGCAGGCCAGCTGCTGGGCATCGTCGAACTCCTCGGTCTCGGAGGCCACCGCGCGCTCGCGAGCACGCAGGGTCAGCGACCCGCAGCCTCCGGCGCTGGCCCCCGCGACTGGCGGCGCCAGGTCCCGAGCACGGATGGCGAGGGGCTCGCTCGGGCGGTAGTACATCTCGAATGTTAGCCAGGTGAGAAGCTCCTCCTCCCACAGGTTGTGGAACCGCGTCCACATCACCAGCACGGCCATCACCTCGCATGGCATCCCGATCCTGGAGCCTCCAGGGGCCAGCCGCCCCCAGCCCTTCGCAGCCCTGCGACAGGGGGGCACGCGAGCTCCTCCTTCCTTGCTGAGCCCCGCGCAAAAGAACAGCACAGCGGCGAGCATCCGCTGCCCGAGGCACAGATGGGCCCCGTCGAGGTACATCGAGTCCAAGAACGCCGCCAGCGCCACGTCGGCGTCGGCCTCACCCTCGGGCGTCGCCTGGCCGGTCAGCTTCAGCCAGCGCCCGAACGAGGCGCAGTCGTCCTGGCACAGGCGCAACGTAGCGTGGCGGGCCGAGTGGGTCTGGCAGACTGTCAAGCCGTCCGCGGCCGTCGCAGCCGCGCGCCGGCGGGCGCCCTCCTTCGCGCGGGCCGCCCTGGCACCGCTCGGCTGCGGCGGCCGCGCTGCCGCCCGAGGCCCCCGCCGAGGCGCCGCCGCCAGGGGGCCGCCGGGAGCCGCCCGCGAAGGAAACGCCTGCGACGAAGACGGGCCCCCGCTCGCAGGCGCCCGCGCCTGGCCCCCCGCCGCCCGCGGCCTCGAACCCGAGCCACTCCCGCGGCAGTCGCGCGACGCCGCGCTCCGCAGCAGCATCCGCGGCGTCTGCCCCGCGGGCAGCCCCTGCCTCCGCCACGCGCTCGCAAGAGCGAAGCTACTCGACCCCGTGAAGCTTATCCTGGGCGTCACACGCAGGCTCGCCACAACCGCAGCGACCCCGCGACACCCGCTGAAAAAAAAAATCCACCACTTCCAGTGCACGGTGTATATGGTTGTCTGTGGCTTTCTGACGTATACACCATAGCCCTTTCCATGGTGCATGTGCAATCCTCGTTGCTGTTGGTAGAACGGTATACACCATAGGTTTGGGAAAAAAGTTAGTTTGTTTCACCAGGCGCCCCCCCTGCGCGCGACTTTTCTGCAACGGGCGCGCCAGCCTGTGCGTTAGTAAAAGAGAGCTGGATTTCATGTGCAATCAATTTACCCTGGCACGGTGGTGCATAGGGACAGTCTAAGGATTCGAAGGCGAGAGCGGCCGCGGAAGGGAGGGAGCTGCGCTGCTTCTCGAGGGGCCGTCGGCCACGCTCCATTCCGAAGGGGGCCAGCGACAGCGTAGCACGCAACCCGTGGCCAGACAGAGGGCGGCACTGGACTGGGACACACGCCGCATGCCTCTCGAGTCGGATCGGCCCTTCGACGCCGCGCAGGTCGCAACCGGCGAATCACCCAACACGGCGATCCGCCGCCCGAAGTTCCGAGCGTTCCTCAAGGCGCGCCGCAGCGCGCACAGGATCGCGAGCCCCTCCACGACAGGCATCGGCTTCTCGAAGCCCCACCTGCAGCGACCAACAACGTTCCTGTCGCGCTTCAACAGCCTCCGCGGCACTTCCCGGACACACACTAGCGCGGGAATCGCCAAGACCAAATCCCAAGACGTCTGCAACGCTTCCAGCGCACGGCAGCAGCGGCGGCAGCCTTGAGACGCGGCTGAAGTCGAGCACCTCGTGATCAGCGCCATCGCTCACAAGGTCCCCCAAGAAAACGGGCCCCCCCAGGCGAGACAGTCGACGAGTACACCCCAAGACCAGCAAGAGAAGCGCCCATGGCGCACAGCGTCGGCCCCCGCGTGGCCCCCCACGGCAAGCAGCGAGAGCAAGCCCGGACCGTAACCCCCCAGACCCACGCCCACGCCCGAACCGTAGAAGCCGGGCGCACGAGGCCTCCGCAGAGCTAGCGGGGCGCCGATGCCAGCGGGCGGGGCGCCCAGCGCGGAGACGGACCCGCGCACGCGCTCCATGATTCAATACCGCACGGACGACAGCGGCCCGGAGGACACCTGGCCCCCGTCGCCTCGCACGGCGCCAGGAGAGCGGTGCAAGGCATTAAGGGCAACAACTGCCCGATAGACATCCAGGTCCCGAGCGCGACGATGCAGCACGCGCTGCTGGCGCCCACGAGACATAACTCCCCCGCACACCCAACGGTCGGCTGCGATCGGCGGCAGCGGCACAGGTTGGGGGGG